TGAGAGGTGACATTAACAATAATAAAAGCATCCCTTGCTCAACAGGAGTTGAACTGTACTCAGACACAAGTTAAGTCACACATTCATTGTTTGGAATCTCTTTTCCATCCTCTTTCTACACAATCTGCATGGGGACATGCTGCTTCTCACAGAATGTCTGATTCTCTGTATCACATTCCCTATCGTCAAACTCTAGTAACTAGCTACTATCTGACAGTAAACATTTAGACAGGAACAAAAATACCATTTGGATGTGCTAAGAGCCTACCAATACACTAATTATTATAAACAGAGTCAACAAAATTAATGCACTAATTAGCATCATGCATTAGCTGATTCGAAGTAAAACACCACATCTTGGAGCACTGGGAAAAGACAATGATAGAGAAGACTATAGGATTAAGAAGGCTATTATTTATCATGGGGTATGTGTTTGAACAGCTTGTAGGATATACCCTAAGATTTACTTTTCCCTCTGCCTATTGAAAGCTTGAGTATTTTCTCACATGTTACTATTTACAAACAGGTGTCCTGATTTCTGCTACAAAAGTGTTTCCATAGAGCAATCCAGCTTCTCTTAAAACTAACAAGAAAGCTGGGCAGGGGTTCCTTTTAATTTTCTGAGTTATCAAAGCTGTGGGAGGAAAACAGGGTTTCCCACAGAAGTATCCCCATTAGAGACTCACAACATAAGCAGGGACCAGTTCAAGCTTCCCCTAAAGGGATTGTGGAGGCACAGGCTGAAATTCCATCTTGGAGCAGAAATGTATCTGAAACTCCACAGAGAGCAAAGTTCAGCAGCAATAGCAAATTTTCTTGCCACAGCATCACACTCCTCTCTCTGGCATAGATCACTTCTTTCTAAACCTGGTGTAAAGGGTGCCTCTTTCTGGGAGTCACCCAACAACCGAGCTTTCATTCATTCCTCCAGCGAGTCTTTACTGAATGGCTGCTATGTGCCAAGAGTGAGTCCAACAGATAAGGGCATACATACACATACATACTGTACACACAATACTGAGTTTGTCAACTGAGTATTTTCCACAGCTCATTCCTGTCCACCTTCATTTTCCTGACTACATTGGTCTTCCCTAACTGTGAACTATTCACAATATTAAATCAGGGCAAGGCTTCTTAACTCACTGTATGGAAAAGTGGACATCTCTTTTCTCAGAACATCATTTCTTCCAACAGGTTCTCAAAGAGGAATAAGCCCCCAAGCAGTGAAAAGTTGTTGAACTCCTTATTTTTAAAGGAAATATCTACCTTATTTTTAAAGGAAATATTAGTTCCTTTCTTAGAAGCCCTTCCCAGTGTAGATATTTAGAAACCCTGACTTTCAAGAAGTATTTCCTTTCATCTCTTACCATAAGCCTTTTGACTCTCTTTTAAGCTCCTTTATGTTCATCTTCTCTTTGCAAGGGATGTTTAAATTATCACTCCCCTCTAAAATAATCATTGTCCAGAGCAGGTTAACCAGATAGCCTACCAAGATTTGTGACTGATTTATCCAAGCTGGTTACAAATGTGGATTTTAGAAGAATCAAGGTAAGTCATGGTCAAGGAAGCAGTTTAACTAGACTGATAATCCCAGAAAATGTCATGTGATAGATGAGGTTGATGGAAGCACTTTCTTCCTGGATATCAAGGCTTCCGTATATGCATTTTCCCTCCTGACTCTCTTGACTTCAGATGGAAGGCAAGAGCAGCTTGCTGCTGTAGCAAGGTTAAAAAGCAAAATGAGCCAGCCCTCAAATCTGCTGAAAACAGAGTGATGGTTTCACTTTTAAGCATCTAATTATCTCTTAGAGGTAAAGTACCCAAAAGCCGCATTGGTTTTAGAAAACACAGCCTCCTGAAGGGTCAGTTCATCTCTGTTCAGCTTGGCCAGGGCTCCTCTGCATTCTCCTCCTCCCCTCCTGGACTCTGGCTGGCTTTTCCAGTCTGAAGTCTTCTGCAGAGTTTCTGGTAAACTGCAATGCTTATCAACCAAGCTCCTTATCCTCAGGAGTATATTAAATATCAGATGAAAACACTGCAGAATTGGACAAGCAATAATTTGGTTTTATAATAATTTCTAATGATTAGAGCAAGCCGAATTTCACTTGCAGCAGTTAGAGATTAAGAGAAAAAACTGAGATGAGCTCACCGGCTCTCACTTGATTTTCAACAGTCTGGGAACAGAATGTGATTTGTAAGCTGCATTGTCCAGAGAATACAGAAAGAGATGCAAGCCAGTGCGGCCTTTATGCTCAGCTTAGTTGTCCTTTTACAGAATCATGCCATTCAATATCTTCTCTGCAGTGGTTGGTTTTTTCAAAAGTGGATTTTGCCCACTCCAGGTGTCACTGACCAAAAGAACTCTGAAGATTTAGTGGGTTAAAGGAGAGTCCAACAACGATTAAGTGGGGACTGTGATTGACACCATTGGGAAGGCACAGATTGGTTGCTTCAGTATCTTAGCCAGGTCTCTGAATGTATTTGAGGCTTATTGACTCTCCCTGTGTCACGCTTAACAATGCCCTGAATACTGGGTGTTCAGCCACTACCAGAAGAGGCCAAGTTTAGACTCTACCCTTGAGGTGTGTGTAAACCAGATTCCTCAAAAATCACTACTTCAAGAAGAACAGTTAGTCAAATGCCACAACACCATAAACCGAGTCTTCTATTCTTTCACTCTTCATTATTTTTTCTTTAAAGCAATCATCTGTGTCACCCTGAGTTTAACACTGCCCACTTTACTGTCTTGATGAAAAAGTATATTGATTTATTTTCTCACTCATTCACACAATCATCCAAGAAATAGTTACAGATACTGAACTTGGTACTGGGTAGACACAGAACTTTCATGCTGGTTGGGGAGATAGACAATAAGGAAGTAAATAAACAAGGTAGTAATTATAGATTGTGATAATGCTGTGAAAGAAATAGTGTATGGGGGGGAAATGGTAATGGCTACTTTAGATTAGGTAGTTCTCAATCTCTGTTTAAGAAGAAAATTGGGCTGGTGCAGTGGCTCATGTCTGTAATCCTAGTCCTTTGAGAGGCCGAGTTGGGCAGATCAGCTGAGGTCAGGAGTTCCAGACCAGCCTAGCCAACATGGTGAAACCCTATCTTTACTAAAAATACAAAAATTAGCTGGGCCTAGTGGCGAGCATCTGTAGTCCCAGTTACTAAGGAGGCTGAGGCAGGACAATCACTTGAACCCGGGAGCTTGCAGTGAGCAGAGGTCATCCCACTGCACTCCAGACTGGGTGACAGAGTGAGACTCCATCTTAAAAAAAAGAAGAAAATTGAAAGACCCAAAAATATATGCCAATTTATGACATGTCATTGTGTGGAGTCCCAGCACTTACTCATCATTTAGTGATTCCCTCATCTTGCCCAGAGGGAGAGAATTCTTCAGCACTGGTGATTGGCAGAACCAATCTTCGTCCTTCCACTGCTCTGATGAAGACTCATGCCTGGATCCAGTTAACCAGGAGGGAAGTTTCTCTGTGAGGGCTCTGGAGAAGAAATCTTTCTTACCAAAGGTTTAATATTATTGTTAACCATTGCCCTTAAAAATGTTCCAACATGAAGAGCAAATGCCATAAGCAGAATAATGGAAGCGTTTGCCATATCTAAGCAGACCTTCTAAGGGTCTCTGCTGTATTCTTTTTGCATTGACAGGTGGCCGCTTGCTAGTGTTTAAGTTGATGAAGGTTATGTTGTGAGTTATTCTAAACGTGTAAATTGGGAGCATTTGTAACAAGGATATATACATGTTATGCTTCTTTTTAGATAATTTTGTGTTGTAATAAAGTTATGGGGAAAAGGCCAGTTTCAAAATCCTCGGAAGCTTTTATCCATTTGGAGGGAATTTTACTTTAAAATCACTTTGTAACTTAGATTGGTCCAAAAATATTTTACCCTCTAATGTCCAGTGTGTTTTTAAAATGGAAAGACCGATGTGTCCACCAAACCTCTTCCATGGAAGATATACTCTGTAATCTCATCTGCCTAAACACTCCTAACACACACAATAGAGTTGTCAAATAAAATACAGGCCACCCAATAAAATTTGAATTTCAGATCAACAACAGATAACTTATAAATATTTTTTAATTTCATGAGGAATGTTTTTACTAAAAAATTATTCATTGTTTATCTGAAACTCAAATTTAACTGGCATCTTGCATTTTTATTTGCTAAATCTGACAACCTTACCCAAAGAAAAGATCTGAATCTCTGACAGTTCCAAGCATCACTCACACCCTCACTATCTCCATTACATTCCTGATTTAAGCCTAGTCTTCAAAATTAAATAGGAATATTAATTAATACTAAGAAACAAAATTTGGTATAAAAGAGGACAGGCATTACAGAGATTAAAAAGTACAATTGCCACTGGCCTGGAAAATAGGGAATTAAAGTAACTTTTAAGAAATTTAGGGGCCAGGCGCGGTGGCTCAAGCCTGTAATCCCAGCACTTTGGGAGGTCGAGGCGGGTGGATCACGAGGTCAAGAGATCGAGACCATCCTGGTCAACATGGTGAAACCCCGTCTCTACTAAAAATACAAAAAATTAACTGGGCATGGTGGTGCGTGCCTGTAATCCCAGCTACTCAGGGGGCTGAGGCAGGAGAATTGCCTGAACCCAGGAGGCGGAGGTTGTGGTGAGCCAAGATGGCACCATTGCACTCCAGCCTGGGTAACAAGAGTGAAACTCCGTCTCAAAAAAAAAAAAAAAGAAATTTAGGTATGCAAACTAGATCATAAACATCCTTATTTTCAAAAACTTCTGCGGTAATTAATGTCCATAAACTTTTTACAGTTGAAACCTAGAATATCCTAGTGCGTAAGCCAGAAGAAGACAAGGTATCCTCTAAATTCTTGAAATCAGTCAATACTATGGTCACATTTATTCTGGTATTTGTACTAATTTGGTGTGATTTCTTAAAATCACTTAATTCATTCTCTCTCTCTCTCTCTCTCTCTTCCTCTCTGTCTGTCTCTAGTTACCTAAACAAGAATAAATACCTGACAGTTATTGACAAAGATGCATTTGGAGGAGTATACAGTGGACCAACCTTGCTGTGAGTAAGACATACAAAAGAATATTTTAGTCTTTTTGTTTGTTTGTTTTACTTTTTTGGAACAGATGGAGATATTAAGGGGAGAAGCTTATGTTCATGGGTAGAGAATGTTGTTGCCTCAGGTAAAGGCTTCTGCAAGTTTCCTTTTCCTGGCTGTATAAGCTATGTCTTAGAAGAAAGTCCTTGTCCTTTGAGACTCAGAAGGCCCCAAGCTCCAATATGCCATCCTGATCCCTGATCAGGCAGCCACATTGGTGTATGTGCTCATAGAGGCTCTGTTCATGAAGCAGCTGCTGTGTGAAACATTTTGAAATGCAAGGTCCGCAAATAGATGGAAGGCACACTAGTCTTTGCAGAGAAAATGTACCTGAATGCACATTGCACAATGCCTGGCACAAAGAAGGAAGAATATAAAAGATAGTTCAACTCATTTCTGGAAGAACTTACAATCATGGGGAAAGATGGGATAACGACATTTTTAAACAGCATGAAAACATACATATTTGTACATTTCCTTTGATTTACATCCCCACATCAAATCAGTGATCAGGTTCTATTGATTCTGCTCCCCTCGAGTGTCTGTATCACCACGACCTTTCCATTCCCTTGGTTTTGCCTCAGTTTGGAATCTCATCATTGAGCACACTACTCTAGCCCTTGCCAAAGTGGAACACAGCACCCCAGAGATGCACAAGATAATCTGTTAGGGGTGAGAAGAAATATTAGAGGTTCTATTTATACTTATATTTTTTAATAAGAATAAATTAAGTTAGGCCGGGCGCGGTGGCTCAAGCCTGTAATCCCAGCACTTTGGGAGACCGAGGCAGGTGGATCACAAGGTCAAGAGATCGAGACCATTCTGGTCAACATGGTGAAACCCCGTCTCTACTAAAAATACAAAAATGAGCTGGGCATGATGGCACACACCTGTAGTCCCAGCTACTCAGGAGGCTGAGGCAGGAGAATTGCCTGAACCCAGGAGGCGGAGGTTGCAGTGAGCCGAGATCGCGCCATTGCACTCCAGCCTGGGTAACAAGAGCGAAACTCTGTCTCAAAAAAATAAAAATTAAAAAAAAATAACAATTAAGTTGTATTAATCTTTTACTTATAGATGGCCACTATCCCTCCGGGGCCAGGTAGGGGGTGGATGCCTCCTAGAAAAGAGGAAGTTATCCACAGTCCTAAGCACTGGATACCTTCACTCTTTTACCTTTGACAATTTTATTTCACTTCCAGTGTTTATGGTCCTATTCTCTTAACACATAGGCTCAGAGTGATCTTGAAAATCTGCTGTGCCACGTGTGGTTCACTGTTAATTCATGGCAAAGTACTTAAAAGCATTATACATTTTTCTTTTTATAAGGAGACAAGTGGGGGGGGGGAAGTATTAACCTTTTCTGTGTGATAAAGTCCCTGCCAGTAATTTTTAACCTGGAAGATATTTTTCAATAACACTTTTATATCTGCTTCTTCAAGATTAAGGTACTATTTCGCCAAGTAATAAGAAAAGTCATTGCTTTTTGAAAGAAATGTATGCTTTAGAGAAAGGCTTTAGAAACAGGTATTTGGAAACATTCACATATTATGTGGATTTCCTGATAAAAATGATGAATGCCATAAAAATTCTGTTTGGTTTAAATCAGAAATAGAATTTTAACCTGTTTTTAAATCTTTCAAATTAAGCTTGTTGTGATTATTGTATCCATTTCCTAAATTCAAATGCTGAAGCCTTACCCTCTAGCACTTTAGTATGTGACTATATTTAAAGGTAGGGTCCATAAAGAGGTAATTAAATTAAAATGAGTTTAGGTGAGCCCTAATCCAATCTGACAGGTGGCCTCATAAGACAGGGAGATTAGGATATACAGACAGACACCAGGAATGGGTGCTCACAGAGGAAAGGCCACGTGAAAACACAGCAAGAAGGTGGGCACCTGTAAGCTAGGGAGAGAGGCCTCACGAGAAACCAAACTTGCTGACACTTTGATTTTGGACTTGAAGCCTCCATAACTGTAAGAAAATACATTTCTGTTGTTTAAATCAGCCAATCGGTGGCATTTTGTTACCATGGCTCTAGGAAAATAATACAGAGTTGCAAAAGGTTTAAAATCCATGTGTATAAAATGTGCTAATGAAACACCTTCAGATCACTTTGCAAAAACAACTGATTGACATCAGAAAATATAAAATTTCATTAAAAACATGTATTTAATTACTGAATTAGACTGAAAAATGAGAATCTTAGTTTAATAAACTCAATCAAGCCTACTCTATTCTTGGCAAAATACCCGTCTTTGGAAATTTTTTCAACTAGAACAGCCATTTAAACCAAAATCAAAATACACTAAACCAGAAGCAGACTTTGCACAGCCATAGCCAAAAGGGTTAAAAATAATTTTCGAAAGTAATTAAGCATATTTGATAACATTGCTTTTGCTTTAATGAAACTTTAAAAAAGTACATTGCTTATCCTCATTGCATGATTTTAAAATGTATGTTTAGTGTGTTATAGTATATATAATACAGTATTACAGGAATACACGTATAGGGTTCATGACTATTCATATGTTAGTGATACACACTCAAATATTTTTCACTTACTGATTTTTGAGACTGAACGAATTTGAAGACCAAAAGTATAGAGCAGAACCACTCAAAGTGAGTTCATTACAAGGTAAGTGGCTGTCCAGGATGTCCAGGATATACAGGATGTCCAGGATGCACAGCTTCTTTTTTGGAGAAAGTCTTGTCACGAAAATGAAGTCAACCAAACTTAACAGTGTACTTATTTGAAGTAGTTGGCTTACATCTAGCATACGCTTCTTATACTTGGATGGTAAGAAGCTATTGGCCAGTGGGGACCCTACTTTGAGTAGCAGTAGTCTAGATGATTAGAGTCTCCAAATTTAGTCTTGGTTCCTCTCAAATCCACTCTCCCCAAACCTCTTTGGGTTTATATGCCAATAGGATCTTAAACCCCATACTAGCCTCCCATTCCCCTCAGGATAGAGGTCTTGGTGTGACATTCAAGACCCTCCTACAAACTTCAGCTTTGTCTTTTATACCAGTTTACACCTCTAACCAGCGGTCCATCCATATTGAACCTCTTAGCTCCCTTAATTCTCCAACCTACGTATACTGTTATGCCAAACTCTTACACTTCCTACTGTCTGGAAAACCTTGCCATAATCTTACCTGTCTGATGAACACCTACTTGCATTTTAATATTCAAGTAAAGATCTCCTCTCTTTAGTCGTTCTTGGACCTCCTTTTTCTTGGGGAAAAATAACTACTTTTTTTGTACACCACTACACTATCTGTCTTTCTATCTATTTTTTTTTTTTTTTTTTTTTTTTTGAGACGGAGTTTCGCTCTTGTTACCCAGGCTGGAGTGCAATGGCGCGATCTCGGCTCACCACAACCTCCGCCTCCTGGGCTCAGGCAATTCTCCTGCCTCAGCCTCCTAAGTAGCTGGGATTACAGGCACGCGCCACCACGCCCAGCTAGTTTTTTGTATTTTTTAGTAGAGACGGGGTTTCACCATGTTGACCAGGATGGTCTTGATCTCTCAAACTCGTGATCCACCCGCCTCGGCCTCCCAAAGTGCTGGGATTACAGGCTTGAGCCACTGCGCCCAGCCTCTATCTATTTACCTACCTACCTATCTACATATGTATGTATGTATGTATGTATGTATGTATGTATGTATATAAAATGCACCAGTAACATGTCTTTATCTCTCCAAGAGATTCTAGAGGGCAGAATTGTATTTCTACAAATCTAATTCATATTATAATGCCTGAAACACAGTATGAGCTTAATAAATATTTGTGAAATTCATATGGTACCCAACAAATATTTAAAGCATTCTTCTGTAAACACTATGGCATTTAAAGAGCAATCATATTTTAAAGATATTTTAGCATGTTGTCCTCAAGGGAATGTGTCCATTTCTACTTCTTTGGAAGTGGTCAATTAAACTACCTACTTCTACTGCCTAGAAGTTGTTTTTATATTTATGGCAAGATTTTCTACAAGACTCTCCCACCAAGTTAAGAGTATTTGTGCAACTGCTTGAAAATGCTTTTCCTGCCTTTTGGTGGCATTCCAGGTTGCGGAAAGTGACAAAGATGCAGAGTTATACCTGGAGTTGACTCCCAGCCCCATCCCTTACTAACTTTAAGATCCAAGTCTCAAGTTGCTCATATGTCAAAACTGAATAACATAAACTAATAAAATTTAAATAAGATAATAAAGGAAATAAACATGTCCTCAATAATGTTAGACATTATTATGATTATTTTCACTTCTTCCTGAACTTTGATATTTGTTATTCTGATCTGTTCTAATCTCTCTGATCACTCCTTCCCCATTTCTCTTCCTAGCCCACTGCACCGTTCCTCAAAATTGGGTTCTGTCCTGGGTCCTATATATCTTCTCCTTTGGTTAAATCATCTGCTCACATGTGAATTTGCTCATCATGCGATACGAATCTGCTTATCATGAGAATGTGAATTATTTCTAAGTTTTGGGTATCATATCTTAGCTTTTATTTGGCCATTCACCCAGCTGGAATTCCCTCCTTGTTCCCTGTCATTCCTATCCATTCCCAACAATCTGCTTAAACTCTCCTTAGCCAACCTTTGAAAATGTACAATAAGCATTTACTGAGGACTTGCAACACTTGGGACTCTTTATTGGGAGCTGTCAATAGGGAAGGGTCACTATGTTCAAGGACAGTGAGTGAAAGTTCTCATCAAGAAGGTGGCAATCCAAAAATTACCTGAAAGAAATAAAGGGACAGGCCTGGGGACAATCTGAAGAAAGAGCATTTTAGACAAGTGCAAAGACCCCCCAGCTGAGAATATACCCAGAACGTTTGAGGAAGAGCAGGGAGACCAGTGCCGCTCAGAGTAAAAACACAAGGAAAAAAGTAGAAGCTGTGATCAAAAAGATGACAGGGTTAAAGATCAACTTGCAGATGGCCTCAGAGGCCATCA